TTCAATGAAATCTTCCTGCAAAATCCACTAGTTACCTGTTGGTAGTGGAGTGCTTAAAGTCTCTCACGTTATGACAATGTCTAAGGGCAGGAACGTATCTTGAGTATTTCCTTATCACACTGAATCAAGTCCTGGGTGAAATATTGTGCCCAGATGTAGTGACCGAATTCAATTATTGGCCTAATGTAAGTAATGATGTTGCGGAAAAGTTGAAGCGTCAGGTGCTTGAAGGCTCTGTTGATCAGGCAGTAGTCTCTTGGTTGTTGTTGTTGTTTTTGTCGCATATTGAACATGTGTACTCCACCTTCGATCTTATGAGATCATAATTCCCTGGTCAGATTGAAATGGAACATGAGAGATATTGGTTGTTCAGATGATAATGTTTGCATAGTTCATTTCATCCATTATGAAAAAATATTACAGTATGAAAGATTGGAATTCTTTTCTTCAAATGAAATTTGTACTCCATAACAAGTTCTTGCCTTTATGTCATGTATAGATTTTCGAAAATTGGAGTAGTTTTCTCACAATTTTGTATAAAATATGGCCTATTTAAAAATATATCAAAAACAGCAATTTCTGAAAAACTGCTCCAAATGTTTAAAGTTTTGGGAGGGATAGTTCGAAATGTACTGTATCAGATGAAATAAATGCTGCATTCGTTGTTCATTTTTCTAAAAAATTACACCAATATAACTGCACGAACATTTGTATCACCAGTGATTTTTATTTATAATTGCATTTATGAGTGCATGTGCTATATCTGATGACTTACAAAGTGTTCTGTGAAATTGAGCTTGAAATTGATTTTCAGAAGTGCTCAAATGCCATTTTCTTAAAAATGGTTCCAATTGTATCTTTGAAGCTTTTGAATGGAGACTGCTTTATGGACTAAATAACTTGACATAAATACCACTTTGATGTATTCTATTGTTTTTAAATTACACAAATATATATATTTTTTTGAAATATCTATCTGATTAATAATTACTTTACCAAGGATGTGTATATATTTTTGCCATTGTGAGTAGAAGTGCTTCAAAAGATTTCAAATTGTTTCTTGTTGACAAAGAAGTTTTCAGTGAAAAATACCTGTAATTTTGCATTTACAGAAATGCTTAAACATTTTCTCAAAAACCCTGAAATTTTTCGAAGAAAATTTCCATTGAGGACCACATTTTAAGCAGTCATTATATTTATTGTCGCTATTATATATTGGTTTTACCAATGGGGAACAAAAAAATTGACAATGTTAAAAAGTATACTTTGGGTGACATTAGATGGCAGTTGGGAAGAGCGTGGGGGCTAAATTATAAAGGTAGCCCAGACTAAAGAAATAAGAAAACTAACTAGTACAAGAAAGTCTATCCCATTCTGTAGCACTACTAATTTGAAATTTCTTTGCAGTTTTAGAATCGTATTCATTGTCAACACTTACATGATAAGTAAAAAGTGTTTACTTCAAATAAGTGGACCCTTATGACATTTCATATTCAAAGACCTGACTCATTTGAGAGTTGCACTGTGGCAATGTTTCAGTTCATAATATTTGGCAACTTTGCTTTATTGGTTACTAGATACGAATTTAGAAGACAGTGTCAATCTTGTTTACAATTGTGGACGTTCTTTTAAGCATTATGAATAGCATCCAGTTTCAGACACATGTCAACAGAAAAGTAATTATAAATTTAATTTCATTGCTTCGATGTGTTAAGTCATGTGCGCATAATTGCTTTTGGTATAATTTTTCCAATTTTGCATGATTAGTAAGTATGATTACTGCTGTACTATATTAGTACAGCAGATGAATGGAATTTTGTGAACTTTTTAATATTTCTTGATACCACTTATGATATTTCTATAATCATTCTACAAACTGAGGGCTGACAAACTCTATAGTGCATACCAGCTGAAAAAAATGATAAAATAAAATAAAAACACTTTCTTTGTATGAAGTATCATTGTAGAAACACAATCACCATCCTAGAACACATGGCTGGATAATCTACAAAATATGGTCCTGTGAACTTCAATAGGCATTAAATTACTTAACTGAAATGATGTTGCATGACATTTTTGTGTCGTTAGCAATTTTAGGACTGGTGGTAATGGTTGTACTCTATTTACAACAAGAAAAATAAGGGCTCTCTTCAGGGTGCAGATAAGGTCACTTACAGGAATAAGCGAGTGCTTAAGTAAACACTTACGTAAGGACTATGAATTGAAAATGCGAATAAGTAAACTGTTAAGTGTCCCTCAAAAATCCATCGACTATGATTACAACTCATGCTAATATTATGAATGATACACTGGTATCATTCTGTTTGGTAAAAGAAACACTGTTTGAGGAAATGTATAGTCTCGAAGCCCAATCAGTCTGAACAAGAATATTTGTGTATTGGTCTCAACACCTTCTTCAATCGTACAATATGTTAACTATTTTATCACTTTATTGTTAATGAGCACCTCATTTTCCTTGAAATGTAGTCTGTTTTGTTCGTCTGCAGTTGTTGTGTGCAGTTGATGTTCACCAGACACCTGTGTTAATCATGGCTTCTGCGATATCATGCAAGAGATTTTTCACTGCAAAAGAAAAATTATTCATGATAGTAGCAGGAAGAAAGTATGATGTGGATGAAATTTGCATTCATGATTAACATAAAAACAAAGTGACTTCAAGAAACTAATGTTCATCGGCAAGCAAAAACCCAACCTTAGTTATTTTTCTGTGGGATTGTGTTTCAATATTAACAATGTATTAAATTAATGAAACTATTTTTTGCAATTTTTTTTCTTTTACTGAGATAAAATTAGGGTGCGGATGTTATAAATATATTACAGATAGGAACTATCTGGAAAATGTCTGGCAGTTGCTTATCTTTTATGGTCAATGAGAATATAACATTTATATCTATTTAAATCACTTAATTTGCCATAAACCCTATAATTTGCATAATGTACAATTGAGATCTACATTCTCTTAATTTTCTAGAGATAATTAAGTATGATTAAAGTAAAAATGCTTATAGTGATTATCGATTCTTATGGCATATTTAAAGAACTTATATATTATCACAATGAACACATAACTCTACAGTTATTGCCACTGTAGCATTGAAACAATTTTTGCCCATTTTCACTTCATTTTGGGAAATTTTTTCTCTCAGAAACTTAATTGTGACCTGCTGTTCTTCCTAGAATTATCTTTCTATTTACTGGAGTTTTTTGTTTAATTATGAGTCATTGATGAACATGACAAGTAAAATATAAAATATCAATACATGTTTAAAAGAAGTGATTTGGATTTGCAAAATAAATGCTTCAAAATAAGCAAGCATGAGATAGTTTGCTCCCTTACCTCTCCTGTGTAGTCTTAACCTGTAAAAAATTTGTAATGCTTCAAGTTGATTGCAGCTATTTGAACTTGTCAGAAAATCTCACACTTTTCCTTGCTTATCAACCTTCTTGGAAACTTTCAGTTGCCAGGTTTCTCAGGGCTCTGATACACCTGCCTAGTCAATGGGTCACGTGATGCCAGGAAGCCTAGCCATATGGTCCACTACACCGTAGGCTCTCTTGAAATTGTTCTCTCCAGATCCCACTGCTTGGTTGCAATAGGTCTCTGGAGCTGAAGGGTATGGCAAAAATGCTTGCGTACAGTGTAAGATACATACTGTTTGAACAGTGACTTGTTATTCAGTGGTTGTAACATTGTTTTATTGTACACAATTTCATTTGCGTAAACAATGCGACGCGTTTAACTTTTGTGCTTTTGGTTAGCTTATTTTTATATTCAGGTCTTAAAATTTAAGCATTGAAATGTATGGATATTAAATGCAAATTTTTCCTTGATTGTATCACAAACAATGCATGTAGAATTTTTAAAAAATTTTATCTCTTGAAAATTTTGAAACGAGTATTATAGACCTCATTTGTCTTTGTTTATATTATTATTTGTCGTATCATTGTTGTGTTCTTGGCTGAATATACTTCTTTTAAAATGTGTAGGTGTCACTACTGTGTGTGATCTTTGTTATTTGTTTCTTGTTGCTATTTTTTGCCCTGCAAGAACACTGTGTCTGCTGCCAGAGTATGTGGCGACATCTCCCCCCCTGCTCTCCTTTAGCTGTGAAGTAGACAGAAATATTATTCGGGCAATAGATAACCTTATATGTCTTCCTGGCTGTTTCTGTAAAGTGTCTATTGCACTTTGTCAGTTGTCGTGATTCAAAGGTCTTGTTGCAATTGTGGCCTTAGGAGTGGTGAGTTTTTCATGTTTTACCGCTGGGGGTTACTCTTTCTTTGTTCAGCTCCATACTCTTTAGCGAGTTAAAACCAAGAATCCATCTTTCTGACCTATGGGAAATTATGTTCAGATCATGCTCTAGATCTTGTATTGCAGGGTCCCCGGACACATTGGTATTGTCTTTAAAAATGCTTCCATTGTCTCAGGTATTGTTGACAGACCCTACTAATACTTTCCTAACAGTAGTATACTTCTTAAAAGGCTCAGTACTTCAGCTGGAAAATACATCTCTCTGGAAGAAATGATGTATTATGGTAATTTTTGAACTCCAAAGAAACATAAAGTTCACAAGACTGTTGAGTGAACAATTGATAGATGTCAATAATCTTATTGCTGTGATGTAAGAAAACATTGGTGTGATTTCAGATTGTTACACAGCTTATTAAAGTATTTATTGGTTAGTTGGAGTGATATGCTTTCTCTATCTTGTTACTATTATCTCAGTGGCTACAATGCTGTTGAGGAAAGGCTGGCATGTGGTAGTCATGGCAAGAGGGGGAGGACACCAGTAAACTTTAACAGCTGCTATGATGCTGAGCTTGTCATATTTTTTTGCCAAGGGGTTGGTTAATTCTGTGAATATGTGGTTTTATAGAGCAACTTTTATATCTTAAAAATTCTAATTTCATAGTACCACATTTTGTTTAAAATCTTGTGAAACATAGTGTTAAATAATTTCTTTTCTATTTTTCAGCTAAGAATAAAAAAGACGCTAAGAAAGAAGCAGCAAAAGCAGCTCTTGCAGGATCATTTAATATAAAATATGAGTGAAGTGTTAAATCTGAAAGGTAACTCAATAAAATTTCCTTTCAGTGATTTCTTTGAATTTTCTGATTAAAGAATTCATCGTAACAGATTCAAAATGGTGAAATTTAAGTATTTTTTTATGTAACTTAGCTTATCTTCAATCTTGTGTACATGCCTTACAGAAATGTTTGATTTACTGAAAACTTTGTTCATATTTGGACTGGAAAAATGTTATAATGAATTCTGTATAAGGAAAATGCTTAAAGAAAACATTGGTGTGCAACAGTATTCATATATTCAATTAAATATGTTAGAGGCACTTTTAACACTCACATATGTCAAGTTTTTAGATTCGATATCCTTTAATGAGAATACAATTATATAATTTATTTGAGGTAGCTGTCATATTGAGATGTTCTGCCATGTTGATCTTCCATTTTCAGTACTTTCAGGAGAAAAAAGTTTAAAAGTTATGTTGGACAAAATTTGCAAGTTTTACTTGTTTGTATCATTATAATTTTATACCCTAGTTTGACTAATTTTTGTTACTTTAAAGGATACCTCAATTTGGTGCTTCTGTTTTGTGTTATGAAATTTTTCAATGATATTGACATTTTGTGATGCGTATTCTGCAGTAGCAATAAATCATTGACATGTATGTTGAAAAATTAAATCAACAAAAACAAAAATCTCAATTATCTTGTGGTGTGAAATTAATTAAAACCCTCGCTTTAAAACTATACCACATGTAATGCAAATATTTTTTTAAAATGTATTTAAACTATATAATGGCTAATTTTAGATCTTTCCTATTCCTTACATTTCCCAGATCATAAATACTGCAAGGTAATGATTTGTGTTGAAAGGTATAATGAATAAAAATGTGAAGTACTTAAGACATAATATGCGTTGTTCAAATTTTATATTCACTTAAGCCTGGGTGAGAAGTGGACGAGCGTCAAAACCCCTACAAGTGGGAGTAATTGTCAGGTCCCTTCATTTTAACCCTCTGCGGTCTTAACCCTAACATCTACTGATCATGATCCATTCTTAAATTTTGTGAAACTAACCAGCGTTATTGTGTTCTTAATGGGTAGCGGAGTAATATAAGTAAAATTAGCCCACACGAGGATATCTTATTTTACTCCCAAAATAACCTAGAAAACAATTTTTTAATGTTTGTTACTATAGTGACATAATATCGTAAAATCTGCCTTTCACCCTTTTCTCACTCCTCTCACTGTGTCTCCGTGGAATTTTTTTACTTGTTATGTAGCGATCTGTATTCTGTACACAATTTTCTAAGATATACACTAATTTCTTATGATTTTTTAAATAATGGCCAACATGAGGGACTATTTTTCAGTGAAGTCTTACGTTTTGTAAAGGTTTATACAAGCTTTTTTTATTTTATTTTATTTTATTTTATTTTATTTTATAGTTTCAAGGCGAATGCTTGATATTGCAACTAAATTACTATTTTCATTGGACTCTTCATCAAAAAAAACATAAAATAATCAATTGATATATTCAATTTCACTTTATGGTATGTTTTTCGGACTTACAAATGCATCAAATGCATGGGTTATAAGTCTTAAATCATTCTTTTGCTTCAGTTTAATTGCAATGACCCTAGATCACTTACTCATTGATAATTTGAGTGGAAATACAAAAATAAGAGCAGTGACATGTATGGATAAACAAGGATGGCTGCATTTCCTGATGAATCTTTAATATGCTTTCTAGATTTAGATTTAATTTATTTAGTCAAAAACAACAGTGAACACTGACGTATGGGGGAGAATATTATCTGTGGACGTTTTCTTGAACTCCAGAATCCCTTCCAGTCATTTTAACTATAAATAGCTGAAGGACGAGTAAACGTTTAATATAAATAAATAAAAATAAATTTTAAAAATAGCAAGATTAGCAATACGAAGGTTGCCTTTTAGGTTTCGGGATTTGGCAACCCTGGTGTTGCAATCTAGCAACTGACAGCTCTATTGTAAAGTTGGACGTTTTGAGGATGGTTATACGTACTCAGAACGTTTTGACATAGGAGCGTAATTTGTGTTTACAGTAACTTAAAAGATTCATCTTGCCCCCAAAATGGAATTAAATCGTGAACAGTTTCGTGCGATTATTTTTTTACTACTTTCGACGTGGTTAAACTCAGCAAACAGTGCATGGATGAACCTTAATTCAATTTTTGGCGATGAAGCTCCATTGATTATTCGTTTATTCGTATATTGTTTATCGTGGTTGGGTGATTAAGTCGTGGGCGTAGTTCACTCCAAGCTAATATCGCGAAGGTCGTCAAATCAGTTTGTTCCGACGTACATTGCCTGTGCGTGAACTGATATTGCAAGATCGTGTGATCAATTGTGAGATTGAGACCCTTAGGCCATTAGTGGGACCAGCATACATTCAATATTGCATGAACATTTGACTGTCAAAAAAATTTGTTCGCGTTGGATCCCACACAATATGTCGATCGCTCAAAAAAAGGCTCGTCTCGACTGGTCGAAAGAAATGCTCAAAAAGTACGATCGCGGTGCTTTGAAACACGTCTATGACATTGTGACAGGTGATGAATTGTGGATTTACATGTATGAGCCTGAAAGTAAACAGCATTCAACTGTATGGGGTTTCAAGATGAGCAAAATCCAACAAACGTTGTTCCCGCACGAAGCACTTCCAAACAGATGGTCGCCTGTTTTTTCGGAAAAAACTGGACATGTCGCAACCGTACCACTAGAACAACGCCGAACATTCAATTCTGAGTGGTACACAACGATTTGTTTGCCAGCTGTCTTCAAGAAACCAGGAAAACCAACCGCCGAAGACGGATCACTCTTCACCACGACAATACGAGCTCTCACACATCGGCTGAAACAACTGCATTTTTGAGCAACCAAAACATCGATTTGATGAGTCATCCGCCACACAGTCCTGACTTGGCACCGAATGAATTCTTTTAATTCCCGTATGTAAAAAACAAACTGAGAGGTCAACGTTTTTTGACACCTGAAGAAGCGGTTGCTACATTCAGAATGCATGTTTTGGAGATGCCTCAATCAGTGGCAAAAGTGCATCGACAATTGGTTCAAATGCATGCAAAAGTGGATAGATCTTCATGGGAGTATTTTGAAAAAACAATAAAGTGATTTTAGATTATTAATATTTGTTTTTGTTCTCTAATCCTCAAATATAAAAGGCAACCCTCGTATTTGACAAAATACACTTTTGTTTCAGAGTTATAGAAAAATTTGCATTGGTAAATGAATTAAGCATGATTTTTCTGCATTGCTAACAAAATAGTCACTCGCACTTCTCTCTACTCTTACCATTAACGGAGTAAGTAAACGGAGAGTTCAACAAAACATGCACTTAGTGAAGCTACATTTACGCCCAGAAGCAAAACAAGGGGCCATTTCAGCATTCTATGATCTAATGTATGCCTGATGCTGTCTGAATTAGCTTTGCCATTCTTTGCCAATGGAAGGGAAAAACGATGACTCGTGACCATATCGATTAAAGCCTAAACGACTAAATGCGTGGCTTTGTCAAGATGAGCTGATAGAGAGATTTGAGTGTTGTGCAGGTCCCATGAAGCCTCGGATCCAAGCTGTGAACAATGTACTGTGCAAGGTGATTGTGGCTCCTTAATGGCATGGGTAGTTTTCTGCATGGAATGGACTGGCTTTTCTGGTCAAATTGAACTGATTTACTGAAAATATATATGTTCAGCTATTTGGATACTATTTGCAGCCATTCATGGATATGTTCCCAAACGGCAATGGAATTTTTATGAATGACAGTGTGCCATGCCGCTGGGCTACAAAAAGGTATTACACGAGAGATACTATTTTCATAATTTACCAATGTATTTAAATACCATTTTATTTAAAATACTTCTCGTATTGCTTGCTAATCCAAATGAACAAGAACCGTTGACTTGTCTTAACATTGTTTTTGTTATATATCAATGTAAATTCTTAATCCTGCTGTGAAGTTTTTGGAACTCATCAATCATGAGATCTACCCTTATATTGACTTACCAGTTGATTAGCAACAATGAAGGTGAAAACTAAGAAATAGTGAAAAAAAAAAATACAAAAAATTGAAAATTAATCTGAAGATGTATTCATTCATTCAGATTCATTTGTAAAATCCATTTTCTAGAATTTTTTCACAATTTTAATTTAAAAAATAATTTTTTTGTTATTCACAAACTTAAATCTTACAATTATGTACATTCTTATGTATACAAAATATCAGTTAGTAGTTTAAACAGATTGAAGGAAGCATAATTTTTCTATCAATTCAGAAAAGAAGTGTTAAAAATCAGGGAAACTTACGAGTTGATTAAGCACCAATACAAAATTGTAAAATTGATCCGAAAAAGGTGTGGACCACATTGGTAAAATTGAGTCTATAAATCCATTATTTACGAATTTTTTGACGAATAATCCAATGAAAATAGTCATTTTCTTCCTAAATCAAGTATTTGCTTCAAACTTAAAAAAAATAAAGTGTAAAAAATATTTTAAAAGTAAAATGTTAAGTGAAAATAGCACCTTATGTTCTTGAGTATCAAAAATATAAGAAATTAGTGTACATCTTAAAATATTGTCTAAAGAATAGTTCGTTATGTTAGGTGTCAAAAAATCTATATTCTACAATTAGAGCGTCAAAAGTGAGAAAACGGCGAAAACACTTTTTCGATATCACGTCACAATGTCAACAATAAAAAATAGTTTTTCTACGTTATTTTAGGAGTAGAATAAGTTAATATCATCCTCTTCTAGTTTGGTCGTGGACCAATTTTACCATTCTTATTCCACTATCCCCTTTCGTGGAATTAACATTGTTTTTGCTTTCTTAAATTTTGTGGAACTAACATTGCTTTTGTTTCATATGAGCAGACCTATTGTCAAGCTTACTAGTTAACCCATTTCTTCCCAAGCTTTGAAATACCTACTTTTTTTTTTTTAAACTTCAGACTGTAATATTAATGGATCATCCCGAAAGAGTGTTAATATATGCTCCAACTATTATTGCGATTTTTGGTTTGCCGGAATGGAACGTTGCGTTCACTCAACATTGGGAGTGAAGAATGGTAAGAATGAGTCAGATCAACATTCTAAAATAATTTTATTTTCTCAATGTAATACACAATAAAAACCCGAGCGTATATTAAAGTAAGTTGATTTGTGATATAGTGAGAAACATGCATTATTCAAATGAACTTGACACTTTTTACAGTTAAAAGTAGTTTGGCTTGTGCAAATTTTACATCTGCGACGCGCATTAAACGTCACGAATTATTACGTGACCAACAAGGTTTTTATAACTTCTGGCAAACTTTTCTTGCTACAACGCCCCAGATTGAAATTTTTAATTCTATTTTCTTTCAGAGAAGGGTGAGTACACTTTCTGGTCTGAAATCAATTTTACTTGTCTTTGCTCCAGTTCCTAAGGTATACAATTTTCAGGCATTTACAATAACTATCTATACCATTTGTAAGAAGGGACACCACCATTTTTTTTGCTTATTCGTATCCTATAATTTGCAGTAGCATTGTCATGTCCATACCGCCCATTCCCTGATTGTACTTGAATATGGTATTGGACTTGAAAAATTTCATGTTTTTTTCCCTTACGGTTATACAGTTTTGTGTTCACAAGAGGTTCCAAAGTACCGACAGTTTTTGCCACTGTGACAACTGAATTGTGCCATATAAGAAAATCTCGTTTTCTTCGTCCATCATGTAGACATGATCCTTTACTTATAATATCTTATGAAGCTAAAATAATATTATAAGTGCAATTTTTAATTGTTTTCCTTGTTACGCAGTGAACACATACCTTTAATATAGTTGTTCCTGTGTAAATCCACAAAAATGAGATTGTCTCAAGTACTTTATCACAATAGAGAAAAAAACTGTTTCACGTCTCCGAAAGCACGCGCACTACTGCCTCAAAGCAAAAGAGAAGCTTTCATATGCGATCCGTTCTGTTTTCTATTCCCGGAAGAGTCTACGAATAGATTGGACCTGCGCTT